GGGCAGAGGCAACCACCTTCTCTAAAATGCTCTTCCTGGGGGCTGGGGGATGGATTGTGGTTTATCCAAACCCATTACCCTGCCTCCTGCTTTGGAACTGAGAGCCAGGGGGCCCAGCTCTGCCAGAACAGCTCAGGCTGGGAGGAAGGTTGGGGCCACTGTTCTTGGCCTCAAGGACTGCAGGCCCCAAGCACCTGCCAGTCTGACACTAATTATGTCATTCCCCTCAGACAGCAGTTGGTGGTGCTGGGGCCAAGGGTGTCCAACTTCGGAGTCCAGGGCTTTGTTGTCATTGGGAGTGTGATCTGGACACAAGCGGGCAGCTGAGAACGGCTCAAAGGGACAGCTGGGTGTTCCACAGCCCTAGGGCCTTTGAGCTTCCTGGGTGCGGCGGGCACACGCTCTGTTCCTACAAGAGTTTGTTGGAGCTGCTGTAGAAGGTATTTGGCCAAGTCTTGATGAGAAAAATAGCCAAATGTGGAATTCTGTAAAGTAGGTTGACAGTGTTCATGAGTGGAGCCCAGAATGAAGCTGCATTATCATTTAAAAATAATAAAAATATAAGCCCTTATAGTCCCTGTCTCAGGGAAACCTATCATCCTTTGGTTTAACTTGCCTCAGCAGGGACTGGGTTTTCCACATCTGTGCCCTTCTCTGCCTCTGGTGCCATCCCCGTGGGGGTGATGGGGGTATATGCTGGGTGTCGGCCCAGATCCCCAGCCCAGAGACTTAGAGCCATGTCCACTCCCCAGGGCAGGGCAGGGCCAGAGTGGCCATGATTGACCACTCCTGATGAGACCAGAAGGGTCTGCTGGCTCAAGTCCCCAACGGGTGTGGCTGAGGCTGGAAAGCCACAGCGATCCCTGCCTGGCTGATGGCTGTGAGAGAGCAGAGAAGGCCGAGCTTCAGGGGAAAATGAAGGAGGTTCCTGACAACCCCTTGCTTCTTGGTACCTGTCTCACTGGGGTCCCAGGACTAGAGTCTCAGCCATCCTGAGTTCCATGAGATCACTTGGTATCCTTCTCCTAAAGGCACTTTTTGACATAAACTGGCTTCAGTGCTTCCCAGTACTTGCCACTAGAAGAGCTCTTTCTAAGACATTCCCCCTACCCCAGCCTTCATGCCCACCCCTGCCTCTGGGTACCACAGATTCCCTTCCAAGCTCAAGTGCCTGGGCACACGCATCCTCCTGAAAATCAACCCTCCTACAGCCCACACAATTTGCTCAGGGAAGGGTGTGGCAATCCCAACTCCCTCTGTCGGCTCAGGTGCAGCTGAGAGCCATTCCATCGTTTCCTTCTTGAGAAAGTGAGGTTTTCACCTGAAAAAGGTCTTCAAGCCTTTGACATGTGTGAGGCTTGGTGGAACAAGAGCTGGCTTTTATACTGCACTTCATCCATGCCAGGCACCATGTAGCTATCCAGTCATTTAATCTCCAAAGAGCCCTGGGAGGCTGGTGCCATTATTACATAGGAGATGACTGAAGCACAGAGAGGTTAGGTGACTCGCCCAGAGTCACACAGCCCTTAGGGTTAGGATTCTGAACAAGGGAAACATGCTCTTAACCAACTTCAACCAAGCTCTGAATTTGTAAAGGCTTCACTTTTTCTGGTGAAGCCAGAAAATTAGGAAGAAAGAGAGTTTCCATTAAGTGGACTGGTTGAGTCTCAGGCACCTTCTTGGTGTCCTGTCTTGCTATATCCATCGGAGGGGCCCAGAAGCTCTGGGCACCACTGAGTTCAGGGATTGTTGCTGGGCCTGCTCTTAGACAGGCACACACCTGAAGGCCTGCTCTTAGACAGGCACATACCTGAAGGCCAGGTGCAGATAAAACGGGGGCAGGCTGGCCCCTACCCCGGCCAGGCTGGACCCAGGGGAGGGAGACACTGAGGTCTGACAGGGTGCTGGGGTGGTTCATCCTCCCCTCCCACAGGCCCACCCAGGACAGAACCCAAAAGACAGTGAGCAAAGGCAAACCATGACTCACCATCTGTGAAACCTGCTGGGACCAACGGGTCCTCATATGCCTCCATGGTGCTCCTGGCCTTGAAGACTGAGCCCAGTTGATCTCATCAAGTCATTTATTAACCACTCTCTGTGTGACAGCCAATGAAGTCGAGTTCCCTCTTCCTATCAAAGGCTATCAACTATGTAGCTTTACAGAAGTTGTCCGATCTAACTGTGCCTCGGTTTCCTTAACTGTGAAACGGGAATAGTAGGACTTACATTGTGGGTTTATCATTGGAATTAAATATGCTAACCTATGTAAAGTTTTCAGGAAACGAGACAGTGGCAGAGTCAAAGGAAGTTCTTTCTACCCAACTGAGAGATCAGACACTGGGCACCCACCGAGAAATGGAGGAGGAGCCCCCAAGTCCCCCAAGCCCTATGCCAGGGCTGCCCACCCTGACTCCCTGCCATGCCACAGTTGCTCCTCCTCTGGGCAGGCTGTCATCCCCAACAAGGCCAGGCTGTCTGCCCCAGTCACAGTCACAACTTCAGTGGTTTCTAGGCTCCTTTCCCAAACCTAGAGTGCATTAAGGAATGGACTTCATTGTGCCTCAACTAATAAATGAATAATAATTAATTAATCAATCAATCGCTGGGGCCCCAGCCTCCTTCCCACACTGAAGCCTAGCTGCCTTTTACAGTCATGTGATGAACTCCTGCAGACAGGGCAACCTATGGGGCGCTCCAGGAACAACGACCCTGCAAGGCAGTGCTTGTCAATGACTTGGGGAGGACTCTGATCTGCACAGAGGACCCTATCTTGTCCCAGCATCCACTAAAACGTTCCTGAACCAAGGCCTCAATGCCCTCCTCCTGGAAGTTTCCAGGTTTCCATTTGCACATTGGCCAAAGTGGAAGACTGAAGAGCGCAGACTCCACCCAGCCCTGCAGCCTCAGGGCTGGGAGGAACAAAGAGAGGACCTGAGCTTTTTCGGTCTTTCTTTTAACTCCTCTAAATTTATTTGGGTATTTAAACAAACAGAAACTACATCATGCATCGTTACTTTTTGCCTTTGTACAACAAAACTAAGTACTCAATATCTCTGCAGAGGCTTGGTGCTCATTTTTTTTCCTTTCTTTCAGTAACATCAGGCAGACTTTTCGATATGATCCAGTTTTGCACAGTCACTAGAGTGTCGCATCATGAATTATTAAATCAGTGCTTCGTGGTAATACATAATTTCTTATCAATTATTCATGCTAATGTGTGTGTAGTTTACTTAATTGTGTTATTGACGATCAAAAGTAATTTCCTGAAAGTCCTCAAGGACACAAAATTTAATCAGCATAACTACTTTTCAGATGCAATGCTGTTAAGTATTCTTAATTTGCTCAACAGTTCACTTATTTATGTACCTTTCTGGAGGAAATACGAGTTTAATCAAACAATTAGATTGAAGAGTTAGTGTACATAAGGGCTTGAGCTTACATCCTTCAACCAAACATTCGTAATTACAGGGAAACGGAAGCAACTTTGCCGCTTTTTGGCAAATCGTTTCATCTTTATACTCAACAAGCAAAATACAGCAGGAAGAAGGATTTGATTTTTTTCTTTAAAGGAGACAGTGTGTTTTATCAAATGCTTCATGGTGATCATAGACGAGGCACGATACACTCAGGAGTATTATTTGGGGGTCATGGAGTGGGGGAAGGTAAAAAGGGAACAGGAAATGTGAAAGTAGAACCTTTCGATGATAATAACTGAAACCAAAATAACCATCATGAAGGCAGTAACTATCCGCATGGAAACACCATCAGCAAAAGCCACCAAAGACTGCAACCTTTCAGGTGCCGGGCACCCCTGCCAGAAAGCGGCAGAGCTTATGCTATTGCACGTTCCCCTTGGCTCTCCTCCAGGTCACCATCCACACCAGAGAAAACAGCCACACTAGACCAAAACAGAAATCTCTGTGAAACTTGGCCCTTTGGAATTAATGCTCTCCACACCATGAGAAAGCTGTCTTCCCCATGCTCCATTTCTGCACATACGCCGTTCCTGTCTCCTTTCCTACTTTTTTCCCCTCAGTAAAAAACACCACCACTGAAGAGCCCCCTCTACATGCCAGGCACCTGGGGAAAGGTAGTTCATCCATATGCGCAATTATTTCAGAGGCGTTCCTGAAGGGCTTCTTCCCTCTCCAAGGGCCCTTAGGCCCCCTGGACGAGAGAGCTGCTTTTCAGTTGCTTCACTTCCCATCAACCCACAGGTCTGTTTGGGAGAGAGGAAGGGCTTGCAGGTGAGTGCTTCAGGTACCGGGGCCACACTGGTTCCACACCCACAGTGTCAAGATGGCAGACTCCAGTTCATGGAGCCGATGGTCTGGGTGATTAGCCCAGTACCCCTGGCCAGATGTGCAGTGAAATCTCCTGGGTCAGAGCCACCGTGGACCTCTGGGACAGGCTGTGTCGTGTTGGCCCCTCCCTACCCTACATCTTCTCACTTTCTAACCAAGCCCACAACCAATATTCTCCAACAAGAGAAAGGGCACTACTGCTCATCTTGGCCCAGGGGAGCAAGAGCTGCTTGGGATTCCACTGGTTCTCCAGTTATCAAACAATGTAAGGGGGACAGGCCCTTTTCTTATCATGAAACTTCAGCCCATGCCACAGTTCCTGGGTTTGACAAGACCTTCAAAGGCAGCCCAGGCGGGAAATAGGAAGGGTAATGGATGAGGAATCTACCTCCCTCTGAGACTGTGGGCCTGGATGAAAATCCCAGGGAGACTCCTCACAGAGAGGGCTCTGCTGCCACCAAGTGCCATCGGGATCTGTTGCCAAAGAAGCCACCACAATACAGCCGCACTGGTGGGACTCCAGAGGGACCCTCCAGGTGCCAAGGGAGCTGTGGGTCTCACTTGCCCGTCCTGGGTCCATGCAGAGGCCCTGGGGCCGCAGGCTTCTCCTTGCTATTTGGAGAGTTTTCTGTAGGGTCTGAGGCTGGGAGAAGCAGGGGCGGGGGGAGGGCACGCCGGACGGGGCACTGTGGACCCTCATACACTCTTCTCTGCCTCGCTCTGTTCCTTGGTGGGAGAGGTCTTGTCCTGGCTGCCATCTGGGGGTGCTGGCTTGGCGACAGGGCCGGGGCTGCTGCTGGTGGAAGGCAGGAGGTTGGCTGACTGCAGGACGGCTTCTGAGTGCTCACGGGCTTTCATGCGCAGGGCGGCCACGCTGGCCGTGCGGTTACTCTGGCAGCCATAGGTGGGAAGGAAGGAGAGTCCCATGGGGTCTGGGACGCAGCAAGAGCACAGTGGGCCCCCTGGAAAAGGAAAAACAACAGGCTCCCATCACTGTCCACTTTCTGCCTCTCAGGGCTGGGTGACAGGGAACAGTCTGAGTTCTGAAGGACAGAAAGATTGATTCCCTCTGGCGCCAGATACTAAAGGGAGAAGGACAAGTGCTCAGAACCTCAAGGGGACCTAGTTAATCGTTCAAAGTGTTGTCAGAGCATCAGGGACACCCAGTCAGTCCTGGCTCCCTTGCCAAGGAGCTGTGTGGCCTTAGGCCAATATCTTGGCTTCTCTGAACCTCAGTCTCTACTTCTGTAAAATGGGGTAATACCTACATCGCAGGATTATAAGGAGGATCCCATTAAGTCATTCCACATTCCCAAACTGTGTCAAGCACCCCTAAGAACTCACTGGGGCACTGGGGGATACCTTAAATGAAGGGAAACCCAGCCACACATGTCAGGTGCTAGGCAAGCTGCTGGCTGCAGGCAGTTCCCGGCTTAACCACGAGATCCTGCTGCATTCCTGTCAAGAATGTTATCGCTTTGCAAAGCTGGATTTTGCAAGTACCACACAAAATTCCACATTGGAATATAAAATGTGGGTGGCGGAGTCTAAAAGAATTCCAAGTTTAGAGAAGCTGTACAAAGCTTATAAGGCACATAAGCCCCTTAGAAAGGAATAGTGGCTATTTAAAAATGAAAACAGTCAGGTGCAGTGGTTCACACCTATAATCCCAACAGTTTGGTAGTCTGAGGTAGGGGGATCGCTTGAGCCCGAGAGTTCAAGACCAGCATGGGCAACATAGTGAGACCCTATTGCTACAAAATAAAAATAAAAAATAAATTAACCAGGCACAGTGGTATGTGCCGATAGTCCTAGCTACTCAGGAGGCTGAGGCAGGAAGATCACTTGAGTCCAGGAGTTCAAGAGTGCAGTGAGCCGTGATTGCATCACTGCACTCCAGCCTGGGCAACAGAGCAAATCACCGTCTCTAAAAATAATAATAATAAAAAGAAAAAGAAAAGAAAAACATTACTTTTCTTTCATTTTATAAGTATTATTTTTCAAATGGCTACTAAGCTGTCAGGACATACTTAGTGAGCTGCTTCGACCTAACCATTGAATTAACAGAACTGTTAACTGTTATATATTGCTTATGGTCCAGGGGGTGTCGTGAACTGAGGTTTGAGAACCTCAGAGGGAACCAATTTGGAAAGTGCTTAGTGTGGGTTCAAGCCCAGGTCAATCCTTCTCACCCATGTGTTGCCTCTTGGCTGGTGATAATGGAAAACATGGAGAAGATGGAATTTCTGAAGTGGTCCCAGCCAAGGCTGAGGTCTGCAGCAAGGTCAGCACCAAGGTCAGCACCCTTGTGTCCCAGCTCCCTTGCAGTCCTGGACATGTCCACAGGCTGCAAGTGAGCCTTGAGCTGCTGTCCTGCGTTTCTAAGCATGCTCTGGAGTCCTTCCTCAAACCACCAAGGGGCAGCAATCGTGAGACAAATGCCTGTGCTCACTGGAGCCTGGAAGGCCACTCAGGCCCGGCATCCACTTTTAGAGATCAACCTCAGGGGCAGCTGCAGCTGCACCAGCTTTTCCAGCAGCTGGGACGTCCCCACCCTCCCTTCCCAAGACAGCCTTCCTAATGCCAAAGCCAGGGTACCTTCTGCTCCCCTCAAGCACATTCACGAATCCTCCTCTTCCTTGCCAAGCCTGCTGAGAGACAAAGGGAAGCTCACCTTTGCCACCCACTGCTCCTCTTATCACATTATGGTCACCCATACTGTAGGCGTGGCTCATCCCCTTCTCCAGGTAAGGAAACTGAGTCTCCAAATTTGCACAGTTTATTGTAGAGATGGGACCAGAACCTCCTGGTGACCTTTCCCTCTCCTGTATCGTAATGGGAGGTTTAAATGCAGCTTCACCTCCTGCCTCAAGTTTGACTGAGGGGCTGATCCGTTAGGCAGCAGATACCAAGATGAGTGTGAGGCAGCACACACGCAGAGTGTGCAAGGGAGCTCTAGGACCAGCCCCACTGCCCTGCAGGCCCGCTGGCCTCCAGCCTGTCATGCATTTAGTCAAACCCCAGGACCTGGCT